TCCTTCATGACCCGAAGCGAGGCAAAGGCAAGGTTGCTGTGTGCCGAAGACACATCGACGAAGAAGTCATTACTGCGTGATTTCTCTGTGAGAAAGTCGTAGAAGGATGCATGGAGGGGACGTATGGGAGTATGGAGATCCGTGGTGCCGGTCAACAGCGAGCGCAATGGCCCAACGACCCGGTCCACTTTGTAACGGCCGTCAGTACTTGAAAAGTGCTGTCGCATCACGGTCAATGCAGTCATTGGAAGCGGTTCTAATGATGCGAGTATTTGCCCCATCACAGAGCAAAACACCGGGATAGCTTCCCTGCGCTCGTCCTCCGGCATGATTTCTCCCAAGGTGCGTATATACATACTATCCAACAGACGTGTTCCTTTTTCAGACGTTCCAGCAATCACAGCTTTGCAACGGCCCACCGGACCCACGCCCACTTTGTTCGTACCCTTGATGTACTCGCAGGCGAGGCGAGCCCACTCAAACAGGCCGTCAGATTTTTGAGCCAGCGTCTTAAAGTGCGCATCGTTGAAGATGTGACGCTGGTCCTCCAACTTATGGGAGATATAAAGCTGAATGTCGAGTTCTGTAGAAGCAGATGAAACGTCATCCAGGGAAATATGGCGAACGTGTGGTGCGGCGTGCAGAGCCTTGTGAATGTCTTCGAGTGGACGGGAAGTGAGCAGAATGCGAAAGTTGGCTGGGAGTTCGGCTAGTTGTGAGCTGGAGGTGTTCAGTTTGCCAGCGAGCAGACGAAGAATCTGTTCCCGTGAATTAGCTTCACCACTCTCATCCAATGCCTCGATGACAATCAGGACGGGTGCAGCGATGAGTTTTGAGGCTATGCTTGTCGGTCCAACGATTAGTTCCTGCCATTGTTTTGTGATGTCCGGAGTGCGCTTGAGTCCGTTGTGATCGCGGACTGCTTGCGCCAAGGCTCGCCGCATGATAGGGTTGCAGTCCGCCAATTCGCTTGCTATGGTCGTGAATATTTTGTCCTGACGGCGATCCGCTTGCCGAGTACGATCGAAGCAGAAGCATGAGCCAAGACCACCGTTTTCGATGTGCCAGTTGGCTATTGTATGAGCAACAGCCGATTTGCCCTTGCCTGCTGTGCCGGACAACCATAAGACGCGTGGAGCGCCCTCCTCGGTGTTGGTGATCCAATTCCGAATATCCTTCAGAAGGTCTTGCCGAGTATTTGGCAAACAACATTTAGACGCATTCAATCCGGCGCCCGTTGCGTACTCCATGCCTACGAGGTCCAAACTCTCAGCTATACCAGGGGTCGTGGAATGTCAGAAAAGGCTCAAAACGACCTGAAAACCAACCCTTACACATATGGTAGGCGATCACAACGGTGTCACGAGCCGCCCGGTCTCGGAATTGCTGCATGAGACTGTCGAGGACATTGTTGTAGCTCTGGATTGTGGCGTCCGTTTCGTTGAAAACGTGCTTGCCAAGTCTCATCCCTATACGAGCAGGCAACATTGAGTCTCGGGGCGGGAAGGAGTAGGATCAACTCACAGGCGCTCTTCGTCTCGGAGTAATGGCTGATAAAATCAGCGCACTCCAGTGTCTGCTGCGCTATCTTCCCATA